TTTGCTTCAGTTCTTATCAGTGTAAGGAACATACAGGAACAGAACATACGTTACTTTTCAACGCACAGGACGGAAGTCAGGGTGGAAGTTAAGGTGTTCCCTGGAATGTTCCAATCCTGAGCTTATTTTCATAGAAAGTCCTATAGATCATTCCACATTGACAGGATGCAGGGGCACAGAAATAAAGACCTCAGGAGCATAGGTTGCTTCCTCCCTCCCTCTCCCCCATCCCTTCTTACCTTCCTCCTTCTTTCCGTCTTTTGTTAAGAGAGAGGTAGGAGAGGGTTGTCTAAGGATGGACTATTGCTGCAGACCTGTAGACCCTTTAATTTCTCTACCTCACCTGAGGAGCTGAAGCTTGTGTTACTGTCTCTGGGAACGAACTTCTAGAGAAAGGAACCACTGCTTTTATATGCGGATGTCACCAGACTGGGGAGAGCCTGTGTCCTCCAGCACAATTTAAAGTGTTTGGGGTCTGTCGCCTCTCTGGAGGTCAAAGGTGAGACAGACTTTTTGTTGGTGTTGTTTTCCTCCCCCCTCTTTTTTTTTTTTTTTTACTCCCTTTCCTTGTTATCTCAACTTCCAAACATCAGCTTTGATGTCTATTGTTGGGACTTCAAGAGGACTCTTAGCACATCGGCAGGTGTTGGTTTTAGTGAGCAGGCGAGAGTCCCACATTCTTCTAGGGCGAGGAGTGGGTCCCACACATTCCTTCCCGTGTGCTCCCCCTAGAGCGCCCCAGGCTGCACTCATTCCAGTGCGAGCAGGAGACCTCATGCGGCCACTGCCCGGCAGGCCCTCTCCCGATGGGGTGGTGGGTGTGCACCAGAACTTTCTCCCCTTCTTGTTAAAGCTGTCTGGAGGGATCTGTCTTCTTTCAGAGCGGCTGAGGCGAGGTTGTCTAACAGCCACGTATTAAGGTTTCATTAATCAAAGACACTTCCACTGCCCCTTTACAGAAACACAACTGCTTTGGCTGTCCTTTGCTGACAGCCCGCTAATTTGTCTTTCCTGGAGGAAGGGAGGGGAGAAGGACCGAGAGGCAGGTGGGTGTCAGCCTGCCCTGCGGAAGGGATCACCACTCCGGCCCCTAGTGTGCTTACGTGCGTTCACGGTGTTGGCTTTCACATTTCTGTTCAGAGCGGTGGGCTGCAGGCCGCATCCCCTCCCCACTCTGTCCACTCAGCAGAAGATCAGAACTATAGGAAATAGACACTGGAGATGAGTTTCCATGGTCTTCTTTTTTTATTTGCCAAGAAAATTTCACTTCCAACTGCCAGCCCCAATATTTGCTAAAATTGGGGGCAGAAAGTGCTAGAAGAAAGAAGTAAGAGTATGGATGTGTGTGTTTAATGGACGTTCTAGGTGAAGTGAGGGGTGATGGGGACGTTAACACCTGGGAGCCACTGACCTGAAATGGTACAGTCTTCCTTTTCAGCTTTGCTGAACTTCTCATTCTAAGGTTGGAATCTGACCTTCTGTAACCCTCAGCTCAGAAGATGGATTTTTGGGCATTTGGTGATTGAGCATTGTGTGTGTGTGTGTTTTAAAGCTAGGTCTCTACTGGGGAGTAGCTTTGAACTCACTTTATACAATTCATCAAATATTTAGTGAATACCTATTAGATGTGTTTGGCTCTGTTGGAGAAGTAATGGTGAGGCATAATCCTTTTCCTAGTTTTAATTTGGGTTAGAACTAGTACACAAATGGCTGTAATCAAAGATAGAATAAAACATGTTCCTTAAGACAATTAGAAAATCCATTGGAAGCCCCAAGAGGGGCATGGTCATGTCTGACTTATTCATACAACAAGTGTTTATTGAGTCCTACGATATACCAGACAGTGGGGACATAGAAATCCAAAGACATGGTCCTTGTCCCCAAGAATCTTATAAGCTAGTAGGGGGAGGCAAATACATAAGCACAACAGTACATTATAGTGTAATAAAGTAGTAATAAAATGAAGAACAAGAGATAGAGGGAATGGAGGCGAAGCAGTGACTGGCTGTGCTTTAGGAGGGGATGCAGGTAAGACTTTGCTGAGAAGGTGACATCTGAGCAGGGTTTTGAAAGACAGAGGACAATCACTGATTAGGCGAGAGGGAAAGGCATTCCAAGTAGAAGAAACAGCATGTGCAAAGGCCCAGGGGAGGGAAGGAGCAGAGGACTGCAGGCCATTTGGTTTCACTGGAGCTTGAGATGTGTGAAGAGGTAGGTAGAAGTGCTGGTCGGAGGAGATGTGGAGCCTATTATGAAGGTCTTGCTTGCTCAGCAAAGAGACCTAAACTTTATTCTGTAAGTTTGGGTCAAGGTGTTGAAATTTTTTAGTTAGGGGAGTGAAATAGCAGGAAATACATTTTAGAAAGAGCACTCGAGTGTGGCCTTGAAGATGGATATATGGGAGTTAGCTTAGGAACCTGTTGAGTCATCTGGATGAGAGCTAATGCAGGCTGAATGGTGGCAGCAGCAAAGGAAGTGGAGAGGGAAGGTAGATTGCAGGGGTAAAATGGATAGGTCTTGTTTGGGCAGGAGGATTATGAGGAGGGAGTTGAGAGAGACTCCTGAGTTATGGCTTGGATAACTGGTGTGTGGTGGGAATATGAAAGAAGTTCTAGGTGGAAAAATAATTAAGTTTATGTTTTTGACATGCTGTTTGAGGAGATCTTGGAAAAACTGTGTAGAGGTAGTCTGTGTATTTGTAATGGGTCTTGAAGGAAAGATATTTTGACAAGACGTTGTCTGTATACTAATTCAGCTCATTGACTTTTGATGATATTTTAGAGTGTATAAGGATCAGAACTATCTTAATTCCAGGGCAGGAAACAGTTTTTCTGGAGTCCCCTGAATAATGAGAAGTATTTTCATCATAGACCTTTATTCGTGTATGCGCTGACATCTGGAGAGCTGAGATAGATATTTTCCTTAGGTCTGGATGCCCGAGCCATGAGCTCTTCCCTCGCTCCTAATTAATCCTTTGTAGTTAGTGACTGATGAAATCATGACTCTATGAACTTTTAATCCTTGGCTGTATAGACACAACTGACTTTATCACAGGACCCCAGGTGTGTGTCTGAAATTAGTGTGTTGAATCTATTGCATATTTGATTACTTTATAAAATCCACAGGATCTGGAGAAAAGAGGCTAGAGTTTTGGGGAGGATTTTTTTTTTGATAGTCTTGACCAGTTTTCAGATGTAGATCGTGGCATCTTAGAACTTGGAGAGCACACAGTATCTTACCTGAGGAAACTGAGGCCCGAGAGTCAAAGTGACAGGAAGCTTGGCCTCCTGCTTCATACTCCATTTCTTCTCTCTCCCGCCTAGGAGAGCAGATAGAAGAGAATTAGCTAGAGTGAGGGGTTAGGAAGAGAATAATGCCACTAATGAAAGGAGGATGGGACGTATGTTTATGATGAGACAGAGAGTTCCAGCTTTTATAGTTTTACTTATCTCAAAGTAACCAACTCTGGATTGGAGCAGCAAAGAATAGGGGACGCACAAATCGCTCAGACAGCATCATTTCAGGGTGACTTTTGTGATGAAGAATTCAGGCGGTGTGTATGTGAGTGAGTGAGTATGTATGTGTATGTGTGTGTGTGAGAGTGTGTGAATGAGTGTGCATGTATGTGTGTACAGGTTCACTCTCCACCCCTGCCTTCCCCTTTGGTAACCCTGGACTTGCCTGTTGGACTTGCCTGTAGGAAATACCCTGGACTTGCCTGTAGGATTTCCTAGGACGGATTCCTGCGTGGGACCCGCTAATCCAGCATCCACTACTGTTCCAAATGACACTCAAGTCCCTCTCCCCGTGAAGCTAGAAAGAGATAACTTTGACGGGTGCTGTGTTTGTGTGAGGGGTGTGAGACCACAGAAGGTTTTGAGTTGGACAGCGTGGTGGAGGACTTCTGTCTGGTCTTACCTGGAGAGACAGAAAACTTCTGTGTGGATCTTTGCAGTGATGAGGGTGTGAGTCCTAACAACCTCCAGAGCAGCAGCTCTGCTCTGGTGAGCACCTCTGTGATGTCGGTCCTTGTGTTAGGTGCTTTAAAAGCCAGGTTTTATTTAATCCTCTCGACAGGCTTGAGGTAAGTGTCATTAAATCAGAGTACAGATAATAAATTGAAGCTCAGAGTGGTTAAATGCCTTGCCCAGCGTCACACAGCTAGGAAGGGGTGGAGCTGGGATCTTGACTCTGACACGCCATCTTTCCCCGCTGCCATGGCAGGCTGCTAGTGAGGAAAGCTCTTGTCACTGGGGGTTGTTTACTCCGGACTGAGAAGCACCTCTCTTTAGAGAAGGGATTTCTTGGAAGAAAGACTGCAGAGTCTTCTCTAACGATTACAAGAAGGGCAGAGTCCTGTGGACGCAGTTAGAGGGTCTTGTCTGGAGAGAAAAGAGCTAGGCAGCCTCTTGGAACCTATCCAGGAGGGAAGTCTCTAAGAAGAGAGGTGGGGCACTACGTACAGCCACTGAGAGGTGGTTGCCTGAGGCCAGCAAGAGTCTTTCTCTGCTTTCCCAGGGAGCAGAGAGGCAGTTGGAGCCACCCCCAGACCCCTCAGGCCTCTGTTTCCCAGATTCTCTCAGGACTCCAGAGGCAGAGCCAGCAGTTCCTAAAGAACAGGGACAAGGTACAGGACAGCAGGCTGGGAGCAGGTGATGAAGATGCTCTCCCCTTCCACCGGCCTTCATTTTGGCTCCCTACAGGTTCATTCCTCATGAACTTCCTTCTCCTCTGCGGTTTCATACTGTCTCCATTTTTTCAGTCTATTCTCTATCTCCTTCTTTAACACTGAATTCTCTTTGTATGTATAAGTTGCTGTCCTCTGAAATGGAAGAAAGTTTCTCTTCTAATTTGTCCCATTTTCGTTGTCTTGGTGCCCACTCCATATTCACCCCTGGAAAGCGCTGAGTTTGAGTTCCTCCACATGCTGTCTCTGCACCTCTTTGGATGCTTTATTTATTCAACTCGATCACAAGCTCTGAAGGGTGGCAGTGTCACAGTAGGAACTAAGTCAAGGCCTTCCCTGGGACCCGAGGGCCTTTGTCAGAGTCTGTAGATGATGATGGTAGTGGTTGGTCTGGAGTTGGGGTAAAGTGCTGGGGGTTGAACAAGAAAGATAAAAAGGGAAGGGCCAGCGTGGACCCTGGGGTCCCTGTCTCCGCATCAGACTTCAGCTCTAGATCTTCTGCTCGTCCTTCAGGACTCTTCTTTCCCTCTCCTGGGAACCCATGTAACCTTATCCTCTCCAAGATGGCACCTCCTTTGACACGGTCTTGTCAGGGAGCCAATCTCCATAGTTTAAAGTTAGGAAAAAATACTGGAGGGCCAATCAGGAATGCCCAGTTGCAGTTCCTGTGTCCTGTGAAATCCTGCCTGACCCATGTTCAGAGTAACCTTAAGGTTGTACAGAATCTTAGGTACTCAGAATGTCTTTGAGATTCTGCTTTCCTGGTGAAGAAGCTCTTCTGTTGATGTGCTGGGAAATGTTTAAGAAGAAATTCTCCAGGATGAAAAATCACCTGATTGGTAGCGTTTGCTGATTTCCATGGTGTAAATACTCCCACCATGGCTGATTTCAAGCTGTCAACGTGAAGTCATTGAAGGCAGAGTTGGGAAGAGACGCAAGCAGTGGTGCGAGCTGGCTCTGGAACACCACGGCTTCCGAACGCGAGCATTGACATAACCCTAGTCAGGCTCCAGAATGGAAGTCTAATCCTGGGTTGGGCTGCCGGTAAGATGAGGAGATTATTTCCTCACCAAATCAAAACATGGAATCCATGGCTCTGTTCTTGGTCTTTGCTATTCCCACGTCTGGTTCTTGATTCTGGCTAGCACAACAGATATTTAGTAAAAATACTGTGTACGTTGCTGCCATTAGTTGAATACTTATGTGCATTATCTCATTTAATCATTACAATAATCCCATGAAAGAGGGAATATTATTTATCTCCCTTTTACAGATGAGGAAACTGAGTCACAGAATGGCTAAGTAACTGGCTCAAGGTTGCATAGCCCCTAAGTGCTAGAGCTAGAATTTGAAACCAGAACTGTCTAATCCTGGATCCCAAACCTCACTCACTATATTATACTGCCAGTTTTATAGCATTTCACGGACGTCTTCAAATTTTGACTCTACTCCCAAGGGAGGATCCTCCAGCACAACCTTAGCTTCTGTTGGCAGCTTTTCAATTATGACTGTCAAGATAGATTCTTGGAGACGTGAGGTGTCATGACCCCATCTTCGGTCAGTTTGGTTGCAAGGTGCTGGCTGTCCTCTAAGACACTGAGCCTCAAGCCCACCCCTTTCACCAAGGGCTGAGATGGCTGCATTCTTCATAGACACTAGATTCGCCTGTTCCAAAAATGGTGATTTCTATAGCAACCATTTATTCTAGCAGATGTGTGCCTGGTATGGTTGGCAGAGGCTGGGATCAGAAATGGAAACGGCCTTTTTTTCTCCACTTGCTGAATGCACACCCTGTAGGTGAGGCCCAGAAGGGGGAAAACATGGCATCCTTCGAATCTGTACAAAATCTATGGCGCAGCAAAGAGGTAGTTGTTGTTGAAGACTGATTTTTATCTGGAGCTTGAGTTGGGCTGTATTCAGTTTCTGGTTCTTTAAGGAGTGTTTTTTGGCAGATGTACCTGTGGGTTTCAATTCAGTAGATGTTTGTCACTGGTTTCTGTAGAATGTGGACATTTACCATGGGGGGGGCGGGTAGGGCGGTTATATAAACATGGAGAGGACCCCACATTGGCTCTTAAAGATCTCAAAGTCTATGTTCATGTATGTTAGTTATGTTATGTTAGGGCTCTTTTGGTTGTAGGTAAAAAAAACCAATTTGTGCCAGCTTAAGCTAATCAAGAGGATTTGTGGTCCTAATACAGGAGTGTTTCATGGAGCCCAAGAGCAGGGATACAACCGCACCTTTGAAAGGCAAGTGAACTGAACTGAGACCCAGCTGTCAGAAACGTGGGCGGTATTCTCTTTCTCATCCTCATTTCAGTCTGTGCATCATTTCATTTTCATCTCTCTGCAGACAGAAGTGAGTCCAAAAATGATGACCCCAGGACTCCCAGGTTTGCATGTGACAAGACCTGATTGAACTTTCCCTGTCTGAATCCCAAATTCTAGAGAGGGAATCTGTCCAATGCTGCTTGTGTAGGTGTCTCCCGTTGGCCACTCACTCACTGAAGGCTTGGTGGTGAGGGTCCTTGTCTTAGTCTGCTCAGGCTGCCATAGAAAAATACCACAGACTGGGTGGCTGCAACAGCAGAATTTATTTTCTCACAGTTCTGGAGGCTAGAAAGTCCAAGATCAAGGCACACCTTCTTGCTGTGTCCTCACGTGGCAAAGAGTGAGAGAGAGAGCAAGCAAGCATGTGTGAACACAAGAGAATGAGCGCTCTCTGGTGTCTCTTCTTTTTTTTTTTTGGTGAGGAAGATTGGCCCTAAGCTAACATCCATTGCCAGTCTTCCTCTTTTTGCTGAGGAAGATTAGGCCTGAGCTAACATCTGTGCCCATCTTCCTCTATCTTGTTTGTGGGACGCTGCCACAGCATGGCCTGATGAGCGGTGTGTAGGTCTGTGCCTGGGAACCGAACCTGCAAACCCCGGGCTGCCGAAGTGGAGCACGTGAACTTAACCACTACGCAACCAGGCCGGCCCCTCTGCTGTCTCTTCTTCTAAGGACACTAATCCTATTGGATCAGGGACCCACCCTTATGACCTAATTTAATCTTAATTACCTCCTTATGAGTCCTGTCTCTAAATACAGTCAAATTTGGGGTAGGGCTTCAACGTATGAATTTTTGGGGGGACACAGTTCAGTCCATAGCAGTTGTGTAGTGTAGCATGACTTCTGGGATCCACCCTTAGGCCTTGTGCATTGGAAGGGGGTTTATCAGGCCCCCCAGAAGGAGACCACTATAGATGGGAAAGCTGGACACAATGTCAAGACAATGCTGCATGCCAGATTAGAAACTGAACCTCACTGTCAGTGCACTGCATTTGGGGTGAATGGCTCTACTGTGTATATATATGCATGCATGTATGTGTGTGTGTGTGAATATATATGGATATACGTATATATATATATATGTGAGACTAGAGAAGACTTGTCGGAGAAGGAATGAAAGAATGTTTGAGGATGGCCTTGGGTCCCCTGTTGGCTGTTAACACCCTGTAATGAGCTGCTCTCCATTTTGGTTTACACAGAGTTTGAAATTAAGTATAAATTCCCATTTCTCATGCTCATGGGTTCTCTGTCCTTCTGAGGAACTGTCAAGAAAGAGCTGGATTTACAGTTTGTGGTCTCTTAGTTCTACATTCCAGAGGAATTAAGCCTCTCTTATTGACAATGGCCTTAAAATAGGGTTTTTAATAAAATAAAAAGAGGCAATATGGGGCCATGCACTCCTGTCACCTATGGCTAGATGAATATATGGGCACTAGGCCGGTGCAGGGAGCCTTTTGTGGTGTATGCTCCCGAGCCAGTGGGATAGAGGCTGCTACAGAGACCAGATGATGAATATATTTTTAAACTTGGAACCCATGAACCACTTATTATTTCTGAATTAGGAATCAAAACATATGAATAATCTCAACAGGGTTTCAGCAGATGTATTCTGCTTTTAAGGTCACTTTTCTTTGGGGAGATGGTTGGGTGTGATGGGGAGAAAGTCCAGCTTGATTCTCTCTGTGGCTCTTAGGACATCCATGTCATGTTTGCTCAATTTACCAGTCACCATGTTATGTGCGGCACATCGCCGCAGGGTCAGGGTAACTCATGGAAGCAAACAGCCTTCTTTATTTTTTAATACATCAGTGTCACCAGTGCTTACAGCAGAGGCTGTGAGAAGATGGGCTCTGGGTGGCCGTGTTCATGGCTGTGATGACTGAAAAGGCAAAAGCCTGCAACAGAGTTCTCAGGTTTACCCCAAATGCTTCTCCCACCCTCTCCTGTCTCTCAGCATCGCTCCCTTCGTCTCTTCCCCCAACCGTCTACCAAACAAGGTCCGGAACTGAGGTGTTCTGGAATTCCACCCTTGCTAAGCTCAGGGATTAGGGCCGGTCATTTGGAAACAGGACGGTGGGAGAGGAAAAAATACCCAAACATTAACCCCTTGGGCCCATAGCACTGAGAGGCCTCACCATTTTGACCACTGGCAAATCAGCATCTCTTGGCCACATCCCTGAAACCTGAGCTTCACGCACCAGAAGGAGACAGTTAAGCCAAGCCAGGCTGATGAAAATCTCCCTGTCCTTAATGACTCTGCTGGGCACACCTGTTCCAGCCTCTCAGTCGCTCTCAGTCAGTCAGACACAGGTATTGAATGACCACCAAATGCAGAGTGTGGCTGGAGGGGGCTGTGGAAGAGAAGCCGTCATGAGCAAGAGAGAGGCAGTCTCCTGTCCTCAGGGAGCTTGCACTGTGACTGGGGGGCATGTTCATCTACGTGCTCACCCAGCGCTAAGGGCACAGGCCAAGGGGAGGGGGCAGGGGGGCACTGACCGTTACTGACTCTCTTCTCTGTGCCAGGCACAGATCCTAGACCCTCTGCCTTCCCCATCTACCTGTTTTCCTTTAAACTTTTGGAGTTAAAAAAAAAAAAACAAAACAGCAGTAACATACTCATTTTAAGAAATGAAGCAATACAAAGATATACAGAGAGTTAATATCCCTCATCTCCCCTGCATTTCAACCCTCCTCTAAGGCAACTAGTATGTGTTTTATTTTTATGAAATAATTTCAGACTTAGGGAAAAGTTTCGAGAATAATACAGAGAACTCCCATATCGCCTTTACCAATTGGGTGTTTACCAGTTTTTAACATTTTGCTGGGTTTCTCTCCTGACCTAATGTAACCACAGGGCAGCCTTTGCAGTAGGAGGTAGGTGGTATTGTTCTTTCCCATTTTAGACGAGGAAGCAGTGGCCCAAAGTTGTTGAGCAATGCGCCCAAGGTCACATAACTATCAAATGGCACGGCCAGGGTTCCCACAAGATTCTGCCATGATGTCACTTGTATTTTGATTTTTGTCTTTCCTCCTAGGACTTCTAGTAGAACTCACAGAAACAGAGAGTAGAAAAGTGGTCGCCACGGGCTGGCAGGTGGGGAAAATAGGGAGAGGTTGGTAAAAGGGTACAGACTTTCAGCTGTAAGGTGAATAAAATCTGAGGATTTAACGTAAAACATGGTGACTGTAGTTGATAACACTGTATTATATAATTGAAATTTGCTAAGAGAGTAGAATTTAAATGTTCTCACAAAGAAAAGATCAATATATGAGGTGATGGATGTGTTAACTAGCTAGGAGGAATCATTTCACAATGTATATCAAATCATCACGATGTACACTTTATATCTTACAATTTTATTGGTCAATTATACCTCAATAAAGCTGAAAAAAATAAAATAGCAAAAAAAAAAAAAAAGAACTAAGCCACCTGCATAGTTGGACACTGGGATCTTTGAAATACTGGGAGACCGTGAATACATAATTGATATTTAATAAATATTGGTTGATTAAAAAAAAGATTGCAGAAGGCTCATCCATTTCCTTCGTAAGGAGGCGATGTTGACAGGAAAGTAGACGATGTAAGTCCTCCTGCCATTGTCCTCCCCAGACCAGTGACCTCCCCCTCCCCATTTTGGTTTTCCCTGGGGTGCAGGTGGGCTGGCAGCGGGGTGGGGGTCCACAGTGCCGCTGGTTGCAGGAGTGGCACCTTGCTTCAGACCGTTTTTGCTTTGGACAGCTAGATGAGCTCTTTTAGGGTCACACCCAACCCCCACGAAGGAAATTCACTTCACAAATGCATCTGTTTTTCCACGAAGAGGCCACAGAGAGAACAGAAAGAGCAAAGCGGCCCTTCTCACGGAGAGACGAAACTACCACTGCCTTTCCGCCGGGTCTGGGTTTTGCGCACTCAAACCCTCGGGACTGACATGTCGTCCTTTGTAAAAGGAGAGGACTGAGTGTATTGGTGTCGAGTCCTCAGTTATACCCCCAGCCTCCCACCCCTGCCAAATGTGTGCGCCTGGATGGGAAGGTTGGAACAAGCTGCGCCCAAAGCTTCTGCCATTTTAAGGATGTTTCTGGCTCTGACCCTTTTGCCTCTGTGATCTCTCATTGGAATCCATCCCTTTTGCCCAGGCATGGATCATGCTTTTATCTCATGCCAGCTCTGCCCCAGCTGGTCTTCAGATGAGGTGATCTGCTGCTCTGTGTTGAAATATCTAGAAGGGAGCCACTAAATAGGAGCCTCATGATCTCCTTCTCCCTGTTTTTTTTATCTATGCAGAGTTTTCCTGGCAGCTGTGCCCTTTGTCCTCGTTCCTCCCTCTGGGGACATGTCAGATTGTTGGGGTGGTAGTGGACTGGGGTGTAACATAGGTCTGGGCCAGCCTACTTAACTGGTGCTGTGGGGATGGTCCCAGGAAATCTGACCACAAAGAGGCTGGGCTGACGTGGTCTAGGACAGAGAAGGTGGTGAGGCCCCTCATGTCCAATTTGAGGGAGCTGAGTATTATTGTTGAAGGTGGCGTTGACCTTATCTTCATCAAGCGCGGGGTTGGGGACCTGGGCTGTAGTGACAGCTGTGGGATGAGAGCTGGGGCAGCGGTCAGACATCACTGCCTCTTGAGGGAGGTTCTGAAAGCTTATTCCCTGGAGACTTTCACAAACTGGAGTGAGGCCCTGTGTATGTCCTTGGCTGAGGCCAGAGGCCCAGATCATATGACCGTGGTAGGAGGGCCACTTCTGGCCTGAGGACCCAGTGGGCTCCTGTACCTGTGAGGGGCCACCCTGCTCTCTCCACCTCCCAATCCACAGCAGAGTCTCTGCTCCACAAAATTATTTTGAGACCAGCTGTGGTGTTCCCTGATTGTTCCGGGTGCAATAGCCTCATCTCCCTGAGCAGACACAAGCATCCTGAAGGCCAGGGCCTGTCCTTTCTTCTTCCAGTTAAGCAGAAATAGAGAATGCTGGCTCCTGGACCCCACCCTGGGGCGCTGGGCTAGCGCCCTCTGGCTCCTGAACCAGGGTTGCACTACATTTTCTTACCTGCTCCCCTCCCTGCACTCCCTGCCAAGGAATTCAGCCCACTCCCTTGGGTCACACAGGCTGGTGACAGCAGTGTCTCCCCAGGGTCAGATCCTATCTCAGAATGAAGGCAAGTGTGTGTGTGTGTGTGTGTGTGTGTGTGATGTGTGTGTATTTTAAAAGCCCTTCATATGTGATATGCCCTCCTGAGGCAGCTCCTATCATGAGAATCCCGACCCTAGATGGTTCTTCTCTTCTACTGCAGCCCGTAGATCAAGGGGTTCCCATGGTGACCTGCTGACCTACCTGCATTCAAACCCCACGGGACGCGTATTAAAATCTCTCTGCTCACGGGGATGGGCTGGACTCAGAATCCCTGGAGTGGGAGCAGAAAGCTGTATTAAATACTGCAGGCTCCTCAGATCATTCTACTGTGCTCTGAAGTTAGAGAGCAACTGTAATGGTCTGAGCGCCCCCCCCCCCCCCCCCCCCGCTCTCCCACCTCCATTAAACACACACACAAACACACAGAGTTAAATGGCCGCTTCTGCTGAGAATGCTCTGCCTTCTGGGTGTCTGTAGATGGGTGGGAAGTCGTGCCTGAGTATGGAATCAGATGGGCTCTCAACTGGCCTCATGTCAGGGGTTAGAGGAAGGAAGGATCGGAAGGGGGGTCCCTGACTGGGCTTCTTGGGGGCCTGCTGGGGAGGCAGAAGGGCTTAGGGAGGGGCCTACTCCATTGCTATGGAAGCCTGAAGCTGCCACCCACGTGGCCAGCCCGTGGCCATGCAGATCTCTGACTCTTATCAGATGTCACATGTGCCCTCTGGGCAGTCCTGAAGCGGGGCTTTGGGGGGGGGTCATGTGATTAATTTTGTGCCCTAGGGAATGCAGCTCAGCACGTGTCTTAGGATGGAGCTGCAGAATCTTGGTGCTGTCTCCTCGAAAGGCTGCAGACTGGGCACTGAGAGTAGGGAAGTCATCCCTCCATCCCCAGCCTCCCAACTGCATCACCCAGCTATGTGAGGCAAGTTAATAAAGATCCAGTGGGAAGGGTAAGGCTGAGAGTCAGGCGTGCCCAGAGCTAAGCTTTTCTTGCTTAGTTTTGATAGGACTTTGGGACATTTCTTTCCTTCTCTGGGAGCTCAGTCTCCCCTCCCCTTGTTCCCATCCCATCTGGCCTCTGGCTTTAGTGCAGTGTCCACGGCTACACCGAGGAGTGAGAAACCACTAGAGCTGTGTGGCTTCCTTAGGAAGGCCTGGAGGGATCCCGAGGTATTGGTGATTTGGAGGGCTGATACCCCTGAGTGACGCAGCATCAACTCACCTGCATACCTGCCCTGCGCCAGCATGAACACCCCGAAGCACCTCTTTGGGGGAACCTTCCTAGGCCGAGGCAGAGTAGTCAGCAACTTAGCCTGCTCTTTCTTTATCGGTGGGCAACCCAGATGCCTGCCAAGCAGACCCCCAGAGCTTCTGCAGAGGCCACGTGGAAGGTGGCTGAGCCCCAGTCCTGGAGAAGGGGGGATACCATCCACATGGGCACGGTGGGTCGGGCTGAAGATCTCAGCCTCTGGTATCAGATAGTATGGGTTTGAATCCTGACTAACACGTTCTAGCTGTAGAGTCTTGGACAAATTACTTAAACATCTGACCCTTAGGTTTCTTACCTGCAAAATGGGGGATTAAAGGAGCAACTAGCTCCTAGGGTGTGTTGGGAGGGCTTGGTGAGGTGAAGCCAATAAAACCCTATTAGCATCAGCACTGAATGAGCATTAGCAGCAGTTGTGATCCTGGGTGTGTTCTGAAGATACTCGTGATCTTGTCAAGTGAAGCTCGGCCCTCACAGACAAGCAGCATCTGGTTTGGAGTTCTGACCAGTGGAACTCTGGGCTGGTTTAGAAGGGGTCTAAGTTAGTGCAGCCAGTTTGCCTTCCCCAGAAGTGGGCATGCTTCTGTCCTCTGCCCCCTGATATGCCTCGTCTCCTACCCAAGCTCCCTTCATTGGCACTAGAGCAGTCAAGGGGAGGCTGACACCCAACACCGGGGACAAATAGAATCTGCAGGCACCTTGAGCCCTGGAGCAAGAAGGGAAGTGGGGAATGAACAGCACCAGGCCCGGCGTGGAGGCAGTGTGGACGAGGAGGCGAGGGCCGGGTCCCAGTGTGCATCCAGGTGCCAAGAATCTGTGCAGCAGCCTTTATTTTTAGCCTTGGGTCCGGGTGGGAGGTGGCGTGCTGCAGCCCAGGGCCCGTTCGGACCAGGTACATACAGTTCACACTCTTCAGGAGTATGAACTCCAGGAGCTACTTCTCTCTCCTTTTCTTCACTTTGAAAAGAGTCAGCAAAATCCTTATTTCCATAAGCATTTTTCTGGCTGTAAAAAGCTGAATCCCAAACCTGTTATTATAGCTGTTCATGCTATTTTAATCTGCTCTGTTTAGAGGTAAGAGGGTAGCAATGACTCTGCAATTACTGAGTACATTTGATCCACGGCACAGCTACGGGAGCCGGCGGAGAGCCCTCTGAGTGGGATGGTGCCGTGTGTGGCAAATCACTTTCAAATTTACTAAAAATATGCCCCTTTGCAGCCATGCAGATATCATCATTTTCCTCCCTGAGGCTTGTTGAAATTCCCGTTTGCTTCCTGCCATACGCTCGCTCCCAGCACGTGTCCCTGGGCCCTCCTGCCTGTTCCCTTTCATTCTTTGTCTTGGTCCTGTCTTGGCCAGATTCTGTCTGGTCTCTCTCACCCTCCGCCCCACCTCACCCCTTTTTTCTTCCTCCCTCTTCATTTCCTGCTCGAAAATATTTTCTGTTCTACTGACCAGCAGGCTAGTGAAACCATTTTTCATTTGCCATGGTCGGAGGAAAAATAGTTAGAATTCTGAATCTACCAACTATTTCACATTTAAACAAGCTGGCAAGCTGGACTGACGCTGAGCCTCCTACATACAGTAATTGTTGCATCCCCAGGCTCCCTTCTCTATCTCTGTTCCTATTTCATTCACTTTTCTATTTGCAGCCAGCACAGAATACGGGCTTCTCCCCCTCCCTCCCTCCTGCAGCCCGCCTTCTATCCATGACCTTGGCTTCCCTGAGCGCTGCACTGTAAATGAAATGTGGCGTGGCCACGTGTATCTTGATAAAATATATCAGTGGATGAATTGATTTTCATATTGATTTCCTTGGATG